GCATGGAGTGAAATACCAAATTCTGTTTTGGAAAAACTCGTAGAAAGAATGCCGCGATTGATGCAAAAGGTGCTATATCCACCAACGGAGGTTGGTTCGATGAAAAGAAAGTGTGATTTCTAAGCTAAGGATTGATTTTGATTCGTGAGATTTTCAGTTTTTGTTACTTCTAATTGTCAACTAAATAAAATTTATTCATAATAATATTTATTCATAATAATTAGTTTTATTAAGAATTTTCCCGAATTATACCCCTGTCCGGAAACTTTTCGACGGCAACGTATATTATATTATTTTTAAGTAATATGTTATTAGTTGTATATAAGTTATATATAAGTTATACGTTATTTAATTTATACGCTGATTTTGGTGATTTTTATTATTAATTATTTTGTTTTCCGGTACAAAAGCATTCAAAGTCCGATTCATAGTTAAAACTTATATTTAAGATCATCTTAAGTTTATCTTCAGATACTCCGTAGCCACCTGAAATGATCCGCACGGCATTTTAAGAACTTAAAATAACCTTAAATATAAAATAAGATTATCTTGCTCGTTTTGTCGTCGCACTCGCCGCTATAGGGACTCTAGTCGCCGCCATCTTGATTGGCAATTTTCGTCCCACGTCTCCGGCTTTACTACCCCTCTCTTACGCTTCATCCAGATATTCCTACATCCATGGTCTCACTAATTCTCTCTTTTCTTTTAGGTACCCGAACTTCGCAGGATCGTCTCGCCCAATCAATAGACTGATAAGTATTAAAAACTAAGTATAAGATATAATAATTCTTAAAATTAACGCAATCGTAAAACTATTTAAATTCATGCTTGAATCGACAGGGAATAATTAAAATAATAAATTTAAACTGGTCTGAACGCAATTATACCGAATTTCGTCATTTTACAAAATACTCGCTTCTCATTAGTCGGCTGTTAGCGTCTCTCTACGGAAATTAGCACAAAGTGCTCTCATTGGCTGAAGGGCATGCAAAATTATAAATTTACGGTAAAATTATCAAAAATTTTTTAAAATAATGTTACTTTGCAACCGTTCGCCTAGCCGTGGAGCCGAGGACACCCGAGGGGCAGCAGCGACCAAGGGAGCGGCAGACATCGACATTTTTCTATGCTAAATACCGGATAAGCGAGTCCGAAGAGCCCATATGGCTAGCGTTCCTCTTAGAATATAGCAACGCGACGAATAGGGGAACCGGGGCCTGATTGACCCCGGTGGACGAGCCGCAAAGAGAGGACCAAACGAGTCAACGAGCGGGCCTCGACAGGAGACCCGAGCGGAGGAGATAGGGACGATCGCGGCGAAAAACTAGCGAAGGGCTCGCGAGATAGCGGGGACACCAAAAATGCCCCCCGCGAACGAGGGCGCAGCGGTCATAGCCGAAGGGCGGATCACAAGGTCCGCAAGAGAGGGGACCACGAGACTGACCGCCCGACCCGCGACGCGCTAATACCACCGCGCGCGGAGATAGCGGGGTCAAAACAATGACCCCCGCACATAGGGGTGCGGCGGTCACGGCCGGGGGCCGAGCCACGAAGTCCGCCCAAGGGAGGACCCCGATGCCAACTACCCGAACCGCGACGCGCTAATACCATCGGGCGCGAAGATAGCGGGGTCACGCAGTGACCCCCGCGCATAGGGGTACGGCGGTCACAGCCGGGGGCCGAGCCGCGGAATCCGCCTCAGGGGAGACCCTGACGTCAACCACCCGACCCGGACGCGAAATACGACCGGGCGCGGAGATAGCGGGGTCAAAACAATGACCCCCGCGCATAGGGGTACGCCGGTTACAGCCGGGGGCCGAGCCGCGGAATCCACCTCAGGGGAGACCCTGACGTCAACCACCCGACCCGCGACGTGATAATACGACCGGGCGCGGAGATAGCGGGGTCACATAGTGTCCCCCGGAAGTCGGCAACCGCGACACTCCGGCGGGAAGTAGCGGACGGAGGGTCATCAGGGGAGGCGCCGGGGAAGATCCGAGGGATCAGCGGGACCACTCGACCGGACAAACCTCGGACTCGGGAACCAGGGGAGCGGGGTCCGAGAGGGCCTATGCGTATGCGTACGAGTACCTACGAAGCTCGGGATGAGAACCACGGGCGACACCGAACGCGAAAACACCGAAAAAATGTTATAAGAAAGGGAAAGTGTTCACCATCTGGCGTGTAAAAGTACCGAGACGTGAATAACACCGATGGTGGGAGCGACAATCCCGAGGTGGGGACGCCGCGAGAGCCCGGCAACTCGAGGCAGTCGCTCGGATATCGTGGTCGCGGTAACACGTATATAAGATTCGCTCATACAATACGGACTTAGCGCGTAGTTTAGCGCAGCGATATATTACAACCAAGCACTCCCGCGTACTTGCGCGTTAAACATAACTCGTATAACTATTGCGAGCGGTAATTAATTACCATTTATAACAACGTTCGTCGAAAAGTGTCAGCGTGAAGCGCATACGGCGCGACAATCTTTGTAATCAGTTACGACGATCTGAAATAAATCAATCGTTTGTTAATATACGCAGTGTCAAGTTAATTTGAATTACTTACCTGCGACTTACCTCGTTCTACGGCATCGTTCCATCGTTGTCCAGCGGCGTTCCAGTATGCGATTAGGCGAGGATCTGGGACAGTTAGCGGCAGTTGAGATCCATCCGGGGCGAGAAGCTGAAAAGGAAATTGGCTGATTAATTAAACATATACATTTCCTACTTACCTGTTCCGTCGGGGGTGGTCCCACGTTGTCCATCGATGATCCAGCAGTGGGGAGGCAGCGTCGGGGCGTCGAGACATCCTGCGTCAAGGACCTGAAAATGAAAGAGAATTAATGGAGTATTGTTGCAATATCGTGCTATAATTTCAATACTTACCTTCTCGGTATATCAAGGTTAAACCGAGTGGCGACCGTTTGATAGGCAAATCTGGCTGAGATTTCACATTTTCGTGTGATCCACGTACCCAGAAAGTGAAGTCCGGTTACAACTTCACCAGGAATCAATCCTATTGGCTGCCGCTGTCGTGAAAATAAATGAATTCAATGGAATTATCACAAATATGTTAAAATGACCGGGAATCACTCTGGGTCACAACCCTATTGGTTGCCAAATCTGCTCTTTGGGAACAATAAATAAAATTAACTTAAAATCACGCAATATTATCTTTGAACCAATCATGGTTCGTCTTTCACGCATAATAATATTACATAAAGTGTGTAAAGTGTGAATAGTGTAATTATACTGTAAATATCTTGAAAACAGTGGGAAAAATGATATGAAGGTGATTAAATATTAACTATTAAATATTGTTTTAGACTTATGGTTGTTGTTGAATTAAAAACGAGTTGTATAGAATAAAAAAATCAAGTAAGTAATGAAAATTGCAAATAAGATAACTATTGACACTAATATTAGAATTGTATATCTGTCAGGGATCATGGTAATAATGGAATATCGTTCTTTAATGAATTTTTGACTGAGTCGAGCTCCTATTGGCTCTTGCAAGGGAATAACGTGAAATATTATAGAAATTGTCTTTCTATTATGACCCTTTTGGTCGCTCTGAGTGCTGAGTGTAACTTGTTCTGTAATAGTGTATGTATCTCCTTAGCCTAATTGCACACAAAATATATATGTTAATAAACACTCAATATAAAATAAAATATAAAATAGTTTAGCTCTCGTGCAACATGGAATCCCTGCTATGAATCATCGCCTACGATTCGGTCCTGAGGATCGCTCTTCCCGCCAATTGCTACTTAACCGGGTACGCGGACGACGCGGCGACGTGTACCTGGTGGTTGGCGGGAGACCATTGTGCTGGCCAACGCCGCTGCGGCGAGCGTGGTGCGCTCCATAAAGAGGCTGGGCCTCGAGGTGGCCTTGCAGAAGACCCAAGTTACTTGGTTTTTCGATCGGTCGTTGCGGAGACCGCCTCCAAGAAAACTCAGCCTCAAAATGGAGGGAATTCGCGTCCCTATTAAGCCCAGCCTCAAGTACTTGGGGCTGTGAATCAGGAAGAATAGCAGTCTCGGCAAGCAAATTGCTCGCATAGCCCCTAAAGCGAGGACCGTGGCAAACAGCCTTGCGAGGCTGTTGCCAAATATCGGCGGGATTGGCGGGCGTGTGCGTCGCCTCTATGTGACGACAGTCCACTCTGATGCTTTACGGAGCTCCGGTGTGGGCGGAGGAGGCAAGGAATGACCGCCTTAAGCGAGAGCTTGTGGCGATCCAGTGACAAATCGCCGGAAGAGCCGCCCGCACCTATCGGACCGTCTCACATGTGGAGGCGACGACCCTCGCAGGTATTCCCCCCATAGACCTGATCGCCTTGTCCCAAGCCGAGATGCACAGGCGGGTTAAGGAGATACGGGCGGGGGGAATCGTGGAACTTATACCACGACAGAGGGTCTTGCTAGGACTGCAGGTTAAAGAGGCCCTCCTCCGCAGCTAGGAGGAATATTTAGACAACCCCCAGCTGCAATCAGGGAGGAGGGTCAGAGAAGCCATCCGACCCGTCCTGAGAGACTGGGCGGGTCGAAAGGAACGCGAAATAACGTTTCACGCGGCGCAGGTGCTCACCGGGCATGGTTGATTCGGAGAGTACCTGTGCCGCATAGGAAAGAAGCGCACCACAAGCTGCCATCACTGCCCGGAGAAGGCAGACACGGCGCAACACACGCTAGAATTCTGTCCCGCGTGGGACGAACAGCGCCATATCCTCCGAAGCAGTGTTGGGCAGGACTTCTCCCCCAGGGCCATCATCGCCGCGGCGGTTGAGCCTAGAGGGGGAGAGGACAAATGGCGGGCATTCGACTCCTTTTGCGGCAGCGTAATGTCGCAAAAGAAGGCGGACGAAAGGATCAGGAGGGGCAAGGTCGCCTTTCCTCCTGGGGCCCAATTCTGTACACGTTTACCGATGGTCGTCGGTGTCGTTAATAGCGTTGAGCGACACGTATCGATAAAAGCTATTCTGTACGCGTCCTAACGACGAACGCGTTTCGACGACCGTCGGTCATGCGTCGGTCATGACCGACAATGTCGTTTATGACCGACAACTTTTATCGAGGTACCCCGGGTAGGACGAAAACGTTCTACCGACAACTTTTGAACCGTCTGATTGGTCAGCGAAAGAAGTAATAGTTTATAGGTTATCAAGAAAAGTGTCTCGCCTCGTGTCAAGTGTAATAGTTTATAGGTTATCAAGAAAAGTGTCTCGCCTCGTGTCAAGTGTATGTATGTATGTACATACGCGCTAGAGACGTAAAGATACACGGTATGTACACATATATTATTATTTTTAATTGGGGATCACAAATCTGAAAATAATATAACAAATTTTATTTACAACATAAAAATGGAACAAATTATATTATATTAATATATGTGTACACGGTATGTACACATATATCAATTATTTTACAACAGTATTTTGTGCACGATTGTTACAATTATCTAATATATTTTTTTTTTATATCTCGCAGCACCAGGTACTTATACTGCAGTTTGCCTGGCGAAGGGCGTGCTGAAAGGCCAGCGAATACCAACAAAAATTGGTCATTATCAAGAGAAACGATAGTGTCTCGTGCCAAGTGTACGCACTACAGACGTAAGGATACACGGTATGTACACAATAACAGTATTTTGTGCATGATTGTTACACACACAAGCATCTAATATATTTTTTTTATCTCGTAGCACCAGGTACTTATACTCCAAGTGTGGTTGCAGTTTTCCTGACAAAGGATGTGCTGAAAAGCCAGCGAATACGTAAATAGTTAGGTATGTAAGAGTTGCAAAAGCTGTCACAGTAAGTTGTTTACAGGAATAATAGCGTAATAATATAATTTTCAACGCTTGCAGCACTGCAAAGAAAATGGCACACGAGTTTCTCGCTTGGGAACATTTGTTGTTACAAAACAGAGTTAACAATATGGAACGTCGTGTACAAAGAAGGGAGTGGCGAGATAATCATGATCCATTCAAGTTATTGGATGATATGTTTATTAACTTATATAGAGTAAGTCCAGAAATTGCTATGGATTTGATAGACATTTTGGAACCACGATTGCAACGTCAACGTATAGACGGTCTTAGCACAGAACATCAGGTATGAATTATTTAAATATTTTTTGTGTAAATATCTTCATTAGGCTTATCGATTACATATTAATAAGTAATGCAGTTTATAAAGTTTGTAATATATGTTATTTAGAAATATACAAAAGGGGTCTGGTAATGAGACGTTTAGCAGAATGTTATTTATTTTGCAACTTTTTGACGTTTAATGTTGATTCAATATGCTATATGGAAAAATATTGTTCGTTAAACATTAAGAATTTAAATAAATCACAACAATAATGTAGATTTTTTTTAGTTAACTAAAATAAGAAATTTTTAATGGTAATGTTATATATTATATTTAAAATTATAATTGAAAGAATGAAAGAAATTTTATTTTTATAGATATTAACTGCTCTGCGCTTTTATGCAGTTGGGTGTTACCAACGTGCAATTGGAGAACAATGGGACATTGCTGTTAGCCAACCTACTGTCAGTAGATGCGTACGAGCTGTGACCAACGCTATTAATGACGTCTTACTTCGTCGTTGGGTACGATTTCCCATGACAGACATTGAACGTTTTGCAGCTAAAGAAAAATTTAGAACTGCACCTCAACCCTTTATGGGTGCTATTGGAGCAATTGATTGCACCCACATAAATATTTTGGCACCTCGACAACATGAGGAGGCTTACGTGAATCATTGGGGTGACCATACACTCAATGTCCAAGCGGTACGTAAAGTACTTATAACAAAATGTATTTGTAATGTATGCCATGACTAGAGGTGTTAAATTTGTAAATATAATTTGTTCCACTTTTATGTTGTAAATAAAATTTGTTATATTATTTTTAGATTTGTGATCCTGAATTAAAAATATTAAATGTGAATGCACGATATCCAGGTGCCCGGCATGACGCGTATATTTGGTCAAATTCTCCCGTACGTCGAATCATGTAACGACGATATAACAATGGAGAGCGCAATACTTGGCTGATAGGTAAGCTGTATGTTATTAACTTTATTAAACGAACATACATATAACTACATGTATAAGTATAATACATATTATATTTACACATGTAGTTATATGTATTTTTATTTAATAAATAACATATATATTATATATGTACTTGTTTCTAGGTGACGATGGTTACGGACTTGAACCATGGCTATTCACGCCTTTAAAACATGAAATACCAGGTTCTCCGAGATATCAATACAATGAAAATTTGTGCAGCGCAAGGTCATGTGTAGAACGCTTATTTGGTGTATGGAAAGCAGTATTCAGATGTCTGTCAGCACAAAGGTAATTAATGTACGAACCTGATATAGCTGGTAAAATAGTCAACGCATGTGCTGTACTACACAACATGAGAATTGCACATCGTTTGCAAGATATAGAAGTAGACGAACAAGAAATTTTACATCATATACAGATGAACGATAGAGCTGTCAGACAGGATGAAGCTTTACCAGGGCGAGCAATTGCGATTCGCATACAAGACAATTTCATTGCTCGTCAGTATGGTAGAATGTAAAATGTGTGTAATGTGTTGTAAAGAACTACAGGAACAACTATCGGCGTATAATAACACGGTACTCTATCATACTTTAATTAATTATCACACTAATTATCACGAACGTCATTGCGATTGTAAATAACTTAATCAATTTTATAAATGCGCATTGTTGTTACAGAATAGCGAATGAAAAGCGGAAATGAAACGACTGCAGATGGCCTTGTTGCGTACAAGCGTGAAAGAATGTGACGTGTGCAAACAGAGATTTGTAAGTAGGAGAGATCAAACATGTCAGACGATGCCGAACAACTTATTGCGACTTTGTCGGTCTCGATCGAAGACTATAAAAGAACTCGAGAAGCAAATAGAAAAGTACGAGAAGTTGTTCCATTCCAAAAATTCATGAATTACGAGAATATTTCACCGCGTTGCCATATACTGATTAAATTATCATCGATTACTGTAATTAATAAATTAACATTGCGTAATTCTACATTGTGTCCTTCTGGTGGAATTTAACATTGATGGCTCTAACAATTGCTCTAAAGTTCACATAATGTATAGAGCATATAAAATGTAAATATTTTTAATGTTACGATAATACAAGATTTGTATAACAAAGAAATGTAAAATTTAAATTTAATTTTATTTAGAGTACATATTGGCAAAATCAAATTTCTACTTACATGATTAAAATATTGCTTGATATAAAGATTTTGTGCAAAACGTTTCCTATGGAACGTGGAAAAACATTACAATATATAACTTTCTTGGCTTTCTAACTATAGGATTACTTCCTTTCATGTATTTTTCTTTCTTTTTAACAGAGATACTAAAACGTGTAATTAATACTTTTACTTATGTATCTTGTATATTTTGCAAAAATGTATTGACACTTGAAGAAGTTCTGTATAACGTTTTATTTTCGAGATATTTTGTTGTTCACAAATTATTTAATATTAATGATTTGTCAAGTTTTGCTTTCTTCGTAAAAGTGTTTTATTCAGTAATGTAGCTTATAATAAATACATGAACACAAATTGAGTTTCCATCTCATTTTTTCTTCTTTGTACGAACGGACCACTATAACTTTATCAAGTTTTCCAAAACAAAAACAACGTAATATTATGAGATAAGAAATAAAATATAAGAAATAAACTTTAAAAGAAATAAACTATAAGAAATCAATTATAAGAATAAACTGTAGACTCTATAACTCTCTTACAGACTATAAGAAATAAATTCTCAACATCATTCTATTTTATCTAGTAAAATACTGAGAAGCTTATGAATCTGTCCCTCTACTACGATCCTTTTTTCTTCTATCTCAAGACGCTGGTTTTCCAATTGTACGCGTTGTGAATCATTTTCTGCCATTTTCATGGAAGCTTCTGCGAATAACTGTAATAAAAAATAAGGTAATTATTGTTATACAAAATTGTTACACAAATTTTTTGGCAATAAATAAATCATTCTTGTTTAAAAGAGTTAACGAAAGAAACAAAAATGCAATAAAAATAATAGCAAATGTAAATATTTACTTTTAAGGCCTCAGCATGCTTATCTGCTATATCACCAAAGTTTTCACGAGCTTCTTGTAGTTGCACTCCGATTCGTTGTCTATGTCTTCCTACAAGATAACAAATCACGATACCATTGTTAGAAATACGTTAGTGTATTTAACAAAAACATGTAAATTAGCATTAAGCTCGTATCAGACTACGGATTGGGATTGAGATTAGATTAAATAATTTAATCAATCAGAAAATTGATCTCAAGTTCTTAGAAACTTTGCTCGGATTGGTCAAATTTAAATCCAATCTCAATCCCAATCCGTAGTCTGATACGGGCTTTAGCAAACTATTTATTAGTAATATTTTTAGTTAATATTTTAAATATTTATTTATAAAAAAAATGGAGAAAAGTTTTTCAAATAATTATATACAACTGTTTATCAAAATTGATTGATACATATATTATGATATGTATATTTACTCACGATTACGCTGAATTTCTTCGGCTCTTTGTCGACTAGGTGCAGATGTAGTTTGCGAATTGGGTGCAATATTTTCTTCAGCAGCAGAAATGTCTTCAACATTTCTTTGTCTGCGTGGATTAATGACATTATTAGAGCACGGTTCGTCGTTAACGTTTTCACGAGCTTCTTGTTGTTGCACTCCACTTTGTTGTCTTCCTGCAAAATAACAAATCACGATAACATTGTTAGAAGTACGTTAGTGATTTAACAAAAATACAAATAATACTAATAAACATGTAAATTAGCATTAGCAAACTATTCATCAGTATGTAATATTTTTAGTTAATATTTCAAATATTTATTTATATAAAAATAGACAATTTTGTTAAATAATTATGTAAAGTATTCAACAAAATTGATTAATACACGTATATATATTATGTATATTAACTTACGATTACGCTGATTTTCTTCGGCTCTTCGTCGATGAGATGCAGGTATAGTTTGCGAATTTCCTTCAGTAGCAGAAATGTCTTCAACATTTCTTTGTCTGCATATATTAACCACGTCATTGTAGTTCAGTTCGTCTCCAACAGCATCTTCTCTTTCCATACTTTCAGTTTCATTTTCTTCAAAAGTAGGAAGTACATGGCTATCTAAACATATATGACAATTTTATTAAGTTTCAAACTATATTTCAGATTTAACATATTGCAATATGTATATTTTTATTATCAATCTTATAAATTTTCTTACTATTAATACTCGTACCTACCAACAAATATATCTTCAATAGACGTGGTTGTAGGTGTGTAATCTAACACATCTGTTTCCCCTCTTTCCAATCTTTGTTGATGTTTCTGTAAAATCATGTACAAATGTCTGCACAATTCCGTCTTAAGGCAACTAACAACACAAATAAGGATAAGAATTGGTAATAAAAGCCAGGTGCAGTAAATAAGTATTTTATTATAATACAAAAATAATTACAATCCCTGAGTAATTAGAATGGTATAATCGCATACGTTTCGACCCTTTCTTTAGGTCATTTTCAGCGCATGATATTAACAAATCATAACATCACATTGGTCACAGTTTTACGCACACAAACGTTTAAAAAGACTTGAAAATATTCAAAAATAGCACATTAGCTCTTTGACTATTTGTAAGCCTTTTTAACTGTTTGCGTAAAACTTCGAACAGTATTATCTTGTTGTAATTTGTTAATATTATACGCTGAAAATGACCTAAAGAAAGGGTTAAAAATAAGTACGCGATTATACCATTGTAATTCTTCAGGGTTTTTAATTTTTTATGTATTACAATATAATACTGGCTTTTATTGCTAATTCTTGTTATCCTCATTAGATTTGTTCATAACAGCTAGACCTCTGTATTGTTTGTTTATCAACTTTGCGTGCGTTTGCGTGCGTGCGTGTGTGTGTGTGTAAATAAATGTAAGTATCTTGAGTGTATCTTACAATTGTTATACAAAATAATATACCTCTTCTTCTGGAGTACTGTCAGGACAGTTGACAGATCCTTGGACATATTCCAAACCCATACAGGCAATGACACGCTGGTCCATCGTACTCAAGGGTTGTGCAGTTACAGGAAAGTTCCCTGTTCTCTGCTTTTCATTTCGAAGCTTGGATGCTTTCTTTGATGCAGTACTTTTCATATCTCTCCAAACCTGTAGAAAAGTAATTAATATTATACATTATATTGATTAATAAAAATAGTACAGTTCTAAAACAATAGACTTATATAGTTAGATGTTCTCTAAGAATCTATATTTCATACCAGATTTTTCAAAATTCTAACACAACAAAGATATTAATATTCTACAGAGTAAATGAGACATTAATATACATTGTACATAAGCATGATGTAGCAAAATTGCTATAATTAATATACATAATAATGCAATAAACAGTAACATTCACTCACTCAGTAATGTAACTGAATAATAATAGAACATATGCATTATAATACTTTCACATCGACAAGTAAAAAATTTTA